TCCTTTCGCGGATGATCGCCCATAGACAAACAGCGATACCAAACAAGCCGGAAACAAAAGTCATGAAATAGGCTGAGCGGTAGCAGCCCAGTCCATCAGGACACTCGCGGTCGCCATCATGGCGGACAACAGAGCGCCCATCGTATATGCTACCGTATATTAAATTGAAAACATTACCACTGAACACTGGGGCTAGTGTCATGACACCCCAATTCTGGGACAGGCCGCCGATGCCGAAAGTATGAGCGGTTAGGGAAGGGAAGACGCCAAACAGAAAGCCGTATGCGATTCCGGTGAAGCCGGAGACAACGACTAGGCTGTTCGGGTTGGAAATGGTAGTGCCAGCGAGCTGGGTCAGTGTGAAGACTACTGCGGACAAGAATAAACACCAGATACGGGACAAGCCGAGCTTCTTGACTAGCAGGTCAGAGCCGATGCCGCTAAATAGACGGCCGAGGAAGTTGCCGAAGGAAAGAATGGAGACGTGCATGACCTGGCGGTGCTGGATGAACAGGTCTGTTGCACTGTCGTCGTAGTATAACCAGAGTGCCTTCACGCTGTTGCCGATGTTGTTGATAGTCATCAAGCCAATGCCGGACAAGAGGGCCATAGTCAGGAAGAGCTGCCAGAACTCAACTTTGCGGAGCATAGCAAGACCTCTAATGTCATTTTGGTGCGCCTCGATAGCCACTTCATCTAAGAAGTCATCGTCAAGTGTGTCGAAAGAGGGTCGCGGGCGGTCATGCTTGGGTACCAAGGTGGAAGTCTCGTCGTCATTGGAGAATGCTCTGCCTTGGGAGTTCGAAGCAACTGAATGCGACCGCGCATGCGTGGGGTATTGTTCGCCATCAAAAGCGGTAGAACCACGTAGATCGGAGTCCTCTGGCACAGGTCGAAGGTCGCTGGTGTTGTGTTCGTGAGCGTTGTGTGGGATGGACGAGTACGTCTCGCTGGCGAGGATTCGAAGGAATGGAATTGAGGCAAAAGACAGAATCGAGGTCCCGAGAGCTAGAAGCAAAAGAAAGCGGCTGGTATCGTCCTTGAAAACGAGGGTCGATAGATTGGACCAGAACAGCGCGCTCAGTCCAAAGGCGGCCATCGGGAAAGCGGTTGCCGTGCCGCGGTGGTCGGGGAAGTTCGATGCCGCTGGAACCGTTAGGTCAACCCTATCAAGCAGAGCCCCTGAAGTAACACACCTGTTTTGATGGCACCTCCAAAAGCAGCGCAACCGCCCATGCCAGTAAGGAAAGCGAAAAAGCATAGGAAGACAACCGGCATCGATCCCTGGCCATTATCAAATGCTACAAAACATCAGAGCTGCGCCATTCGGACAGGGTAATATCTAGACACACCGATATAGATGGGGAAGTAGCCCAGGCCCAGGCAAACAGAGCCGATGAGTGAGACAAGTCGGGGACCGCGGGCATCTGTCAACAATCCCAATGGAATCCCCATCGCATACATCCCCAGGTTCCCCGCGACACCCTAGCGGTTGTTAAGACCCATTTCCTAGCACGGGATATGGGACAGCTCACTATAAAGTTGCTCTCAGTCGACGAAAGCTTCATTCGCTGCGCGAATTGTGGCGCCCACGCGGAGTATGCATACTGACACGGAGTTAAGCTTGACGGTTCTGAATGAGATAAGATCGGAGTTATCACGTACATTGGTTCCGCATGAAAGGGCGACCAGCGTCCCCGCCATGACGGAAACAATTCGGGCAGTTCGGTGGAGAGAGTTAGACATCATGTCGTTTCTCTGCCAATCGTTCTGGTTGATATCTTGTGCGATACAAAAGTTTTGGCGGCGGGAGTGGTCGATTAGGCCCTAGACAGATGTGAGGTCGACATCGGATACGGAAATGAAAGACGAAAAAGGTGAAAAGAGCGAATGGAGTGGGATAGGAGGAACTGAGGTAAGAAGGCCACTTGGGAATTATCACCTGGGCAGGAGCGTACACTCAAGGGAAGGACTTGGAGATGATCCCGGGGGCCGCGTGGTCGGAAGAGCCGTCGAGTAAGCGCCAAGGAAAGGGTGCTCCACGTCAATTAATATATATATACACGTATTAATACGATAGAGAATGAATTGATTTCTAGAATGTAAGGAAATTGAGGAGATAATGGAGATAATGGAGGTGAATGAAAAACAGAGGAATACTATGTAGTCTGTCGTCTTAGTCCTACGTTGCATCCTTGATAACAGACATCAAGATTATGCAAACCCGTCAAATCCTCCGGGATCGCGCGAATTGGGACTCGTCATAGTTTCAATAAGCCAAATGCACTTCCCCACACGCGATAAGGCGAACTAGATATCGAGCCTGGATTCCTAGGGGCCTCGGGGCCTGATTTACTCCGGAGTCACAATCATCAAAGCAATTCAAGTTCGTTGCATGTGACTTGTACCCTCTTCCCAGCGGTATCTATAAAGCATCGAACAATTCATGCCAGGGCAACCTTGCCAAGAGGCTTTTGAGCTTCACAATTTCACCTTCATCGTCAACTACCCCCCGGATTCATTGAGCAGAGAGAGAGAGAGAGAGAGAGTAGTTAATACCATAACAAAGGCAACCCATTGCTTCGTGTGTATCTGCGACATGGTAATAGCTGTCCGCTACGTATCCATATTCTATCTACATAGGGTCCTCCCTTCTACCACCGCATCTGATAACTCAATTTCTGTTGGGTTCTCTATGAATCTCCGATCTTGGCTGTCTGGCTTGAGATAAGGAAAATTCTCAACAAAGAGCATTCCTTTTGTTCATTGTAGATAATCTCACCAGGACCTAAGAACGGGCTTAAATGTCACACTGAACTAAGGTAGACCTTTGGAGCTCGTCTAGTGCTATTGTTGATAATGATGTCGAGGGGTATGCTGGACAGCGGGGGATGGAGAGGCTAATCCCAAATGGGCAGTGTGACATATAGACTTGACACGTGATCCAGCTTCGACTTAGAGACATTACGTAACATCCATCGGAAGCGGCCTCAGGTGATGATCATTAATCTGATCACTTGCCTCTCTCCACCCTCCCATCAATTCTTGATCTAGGTTCACTTCCAAAGTTGTAAATCAGGACTTGAACAGTGGGCTATTGGATATCTACACGCCCAAGATGGGTGCCCTCCTTTCCATTCCGCTGCTGGCCGTACCGAGTGTTGGTACAGTATGTTGTCGCCCACCAACCTCCAGTTCACCGATGTTCCAGTTGCATAGATAGCTAATTGTGCTTTCTCCCTCAACAGCTCTTGACAGTCGCATCATCATGCTGTGGAGCAGCGACATGTACTGCGGTCTGCAGCGCCTGCGGAAAGTTTCAAAACAGGTATCATTTACCAGCTGCCTAGTGCGCAGAACCTCAAACTAACTAGGACGACAGTATGGCGACGAGAATAGCCTATGCATTCATCCTTTTGATCAATTCCATACTCTCCTGGATAATGCTGACACCATGGGCCCTGAAAAAATTGCAACATTTGACATTAGATTATATGGAGATACGATGCGACGGGAAGGAATGTCACGGTTGGGTCGCGGTCCATCGTATCAACTTCGCCCTCGGTCTCTTCCATTTGATCTTCGCCCTTTTGCTTCTCGGGGTTGAAAGCTCGAAAGATGCTCGCGCTGCTCTCCAGAATGGGTTTTGGGGTCCGAAAGTCATCCTCTGGTTGGCTTTTATCGTCATGTCGTTCTTTATCCCCGAACCCTTCTTTTTCGTCTACGGAAACTACATCGCATTCTTCTGCGCCATGCTTTTCCTGCTATTGGGGTTGATCCTTCTTGTAGACCTTGCACATTCTTGGGCGGAGCTATGCCTGCAGAAGATTGAAGACAGCAACTCTCGTGTGTGGCGCGGTCTACTTGTTGGCTCGACCCTGGGCATGTACTTGGCATCTTTCGTCATGACAATCCTGATGTACATCTTCTTCGCCAACAGCGGTTGCTCTATGAACCAGGCTGCTATCACCGTATGCATCCCTCGCACCGAATCTTGTTACCCAGCTGACTCGTTGCAGATTAACCTGGTCGTGTTTTTAATCATCTCTTTCGTTTCCGTTCAACCAGCAGTGCAAGAATCGAACTCTCGCGCAGGACTGGCTCAAGCCGCAATGGTCACTGTCTACTGCACTTACCTCACCATGTCTGCCGTTTCGATGGAACCGGATGACAAGCACTGCAACCCTCTTATCCGGTCCCGCGGAACCAGGACTGCCACTATCGTCCTCGGTGCGATTGTCACTATGCTGACCATCGCATATACCACCACGCGCGCTGCAACCCAAGGAATTGCCTTGGGGTCGAAGGGGGGTCACAGCTACATTCAGCTGGGCACAGATGACAATGAGCACGGTTTGGTGACCCAACAACCAAACTCCCGTCGGGAGATGCGCGCTGAAGTTCTCCGGGCCGCTGTCGAGAGCGGCAGTCTTCCTGCGAGTGCCCTGGATGATAGTGATGATGAGGATGACTATGACACTGCGAAGGACGATGAGCGTGGCTCAACCCAATACAATTACTCGCTCTTCCACATTATCTTCTTCCTCGCCACGACATGGGTGGCCACATTGTTAGTCCAGGGACTGACGCTGGAGACCACGACAGATTTCGCACCGGTGGGCCGCACATACTGGGCCAGCTGGGTGAAGATCGTTAGCTCCTGGGTCTGCTATGCTATCTATCTGTGGACTCTGGTCGCACCTGTCATGCTACCGGATCGCTTTGGTGTTTATTAGTTTTTTGTATTGATTTTCGCGTTAAGAGCGATGGTGTTGCTCCTGCGTCCTCTATTTTGATTTATATGCGCAATTGCAGTGCCTGAAATTCGCAAACGAACTTATCCATACCATTGTAGCGCAATTAAAACCTCATTGGGCAAAGTAGAACCGGGGCGTTGTCGAAGGTAAAGAGCTGTCTGCCCCACTGGCCCACGGTGGTCTTGGCAAAACCCACGCGTTAAGTGAGACGCGTGCCAACTTATCCTCTGCAGACATCATGGGATGAAGATGGCGACAATCCAAGCCATCGAGGCTCGCTCTGTATGAAATCAGATGTCGTTCCGCAAAGCCCCAATCTGATCAGCGGATTCTTTAGGTACACCAAATCCAATCGGGTCAAGTCATTGTTGACTTGTGCTCTGTCGCCAAAGAGCTTGTCGAAAACAGTCTGGATGCTGGCGCAACGACGATCGGTAGGTGCATAAATTTCCGGATGTGGTTTGTGACCGATTTTCTGATGATTTCGGGGGTTTTAGAGGTCCGGTTCAAAAATAATGGTCTGGACCTAATTGAGGTCCAAGATAACGGCAGCGGGATCTCGCCGGAGAACTATGAGAACGTCGGTGAGTTGGCACCTCTGTCTTGGTACATGGTGCTTCAACTGATTCACTCTTCCTCGTAGCATTGAAGCATTATACCTCAAAACTGTCGTCGTACGATGACCTCTCGAGCCTGCACACCTTCGGTTTCCGGGGCGAGGCGATATCCTCACTCTGCGCGTTGGCCGACTTCCATCTCGTTACGGCACAAGAAAAGCAGGTTCCCCGCGCGAATCGACTCGATTTTGAACAATCTGGGAAACTCCGGAAGACACAGATCGTGGCTGGGCAGAAAGGAACGACTGCATCGGTAGAAGGCATCTTCAAGCGGCTTCCAGTGCGTCGACGAGAATTGGAGAAGAACATCAAGCGGGAATATGGGAAGGTTCTGAATCTGCTACATGCGTACGCGTGCATTAGCACTGGGGTCCGGTTCAGCGTCAGAAACACTGTTGGCAAGACACGGAATGTGGTGGTCTTTTCTACAAATGGAAATAAGACTACCAAGGAGAATATTGCCAATGTTTATGGTGCCAAAACAATATCTGCCCTGATATCTCTTGATCTAGAGCTGGAGTTTCAGCCTGCCACGGCCACTAAACGGGCCGGCGATGATCAACTGAGTAAAATTCAGGTCCGAGGCCACATCTCGCGACCTGTATTCGGCGAGGGCCGTCAGACTCCGGATCGTCAGATGTTCTTTGTCAACTCGCGGCCATGTGGCTTGCCGCAGATTCAGAAGGCGTTCAACGAAATTTACAAGTCGTTCAACGTCTCGCAGTCGGCGTTTATCTTTGCGGACTTTCAGATGGATACAAACGCTTACGATGTCAACGTTTCGCCTGATAAGCGTCAGATTCTACTTCACGATGCGGGGGCTATGATTGATACGCTCAAAATTTCTCTTACGCAACTCTTTGAGGATGCGGACCAAACTGTGCCACAGTCATTGGTCAAATCCAAGCCTTTGCCAAAACAGCAACCACTGGCATCCCTTCCAGGGTTCGTCACCGCTCGGGAACTGAGTGAAAATCGTGGTCTTGGAAGTCCAAGTCAAGATCAGACGAACGACAGCTCGGCGGATACTCCAGGGGTGAGTGAACGGAGTACGATTCAGCGTTTCTCGAGCTCCCAAGCGGGCATGGATAGTGCGCAGGCCACGCCATCTCCGGCTCGTTCAATGAGAACACCTCGCGCTGCTACCAATCGCTCTTTGATGTCAATGCCGGCCCCAAGTGAGCTAGAAACGCCTGCTGCGGCGATCTCTGACGATGAACTTTTCGTCCGAGAAGCCGCCCAGGAGGAGCTTGAGCCAACCCTAATCTCTCAAGAACCCTCGTCACAGCCATCAGCCCCTGATGAGACTCCATCTCACGCTCGTGGAGACCCAGCAGAAACCCCCAATATTGTCCAAAATGCCTTCGACAGAATGCGTCCACGACGAGAACCCGCCGAACTAGCGACCATCACTATTGGCAACCGTACCATAACATCCATGGTCGGTAATGGTCCTCCGCGAAAACGATTCGCAGAAGATCCACCTCTCATGAGAGAGCTGCCCCGACGGAAAAGGCGGATACACACACCATCACGCCCTAACATCTTCGGTGAGCATATGAAAACGTTTGCTGCGCCTGGGTCACAACTGGATGACGATGAAGATGACCAAATTGAAGAAAACGCAGATGACGTTATAAGTGAAATCGAGGGCACACAAGATGCCGAGCAAGAACCTGAAGACAAAGGCTCTCCTTCCCCCGAGGATATCGACTATGTTCCGGACCACGGTGCAGTTCGATCAGAAGTCGAAAACATTGAGGCAGAAGACAAAGACACTGCCGCAGATGAAAATCTCGACGAAGCCGAGAAAAAGGCGCAGGAAGAAGCTACAGTTCAACGCCTCATCCATCGAGCCGAGGAAACCGCTGTGCTTCCCCAAGAAAACAGCGTGAACCGTGCAAAGAAAATGAGCAAGGGCGCTACGCATCGTGATGCGACTACACAGCTTGTTGGCACGATCGACGGGTCTCTTTCACGTCTCCAATCTCAACTCATCACATTGAAAAAGACCATGCAAGCGGGCACCAAGAAAACGAAAGAGGAAGCCATTGATTTTGGTGAGAAAACCGCCGAGGACAAGCTTTCACTGACTGTAAGCAAGACCGATTTCGCACACATGCGTATCATCGGCCAGTTCAACTTGGGGTTCATCATCGCAGTCCGTCCAGGAGAAGACCGCGATGAGCTCTTCATCATCGACCAGCATGCCTCCGATGAGAAATTTAACTTTGAGCGCCTGCAAGCTGAAACCGTGGTGCAAAATCAGCGTCTCGTCCGTCCGCAACGTCTCGATCTCACTGCCGTTGAAGAAGAGGTTGTCCTTGAGAATCGTGCCGCTCTTGAAAAGAACGGTTTCCTCGTGACCGTCGACGAAAGCGGCGATGAGCCTATCGGTCGTCGATGTCAACTGGTCTCGTTGCCGCTCAGCAAGGAGGTGGTATTCGGTGTGCGCGATCTGGAGGAACTAATTGTGTTGCTGTCGGAGTCACTTTCGACGTCGAATGGAGCATCGATCCCACGACCAAGTAAAGTGCGCAAAATGTTTGCTATGCGCGCTTGTCGCTCAAGTATCATGATTGGGAAGACCTTGACGAGCCGCCAGATGGAACGAGTTGTTCAGAACATGGGTACTATCGACAAACCGTGGAACTGCCCTCATGGTCGACCGACCATGCGGCACTTGATGAGTTTGGGCCAGTGGGATGAATGGAATGAATTTCGGGAAACCGAAGGACTCGACCCTTGGAAACAATACTTGGAAGGAGAAGGCGACGAGGAAGGAGACGAAGAAGACGAGCCATAATCCATCACGATACCCTGTGCACGCTCTAGATGTTCTAACCAGAACAACCAAATGAACAAAGACATGAACCCATCACCACCATCGCATCCAGCCTTTCGCTGGCTGATCTACTTTCTTCCCAGTAGCATCAATATCAACCTGCCCCTTTCGGCTGTTTGAGTTGTCATTCCCAACACCTCCATTCCATTCCGTCTCATCACCATTCTCATTCCTGTGTGCCGCATGACCCCTCTCAACGACATCCATCATCTCCTCCAAGGCCAGCAAATCGCGCTCAATCATCTCCGCCCAATTCTGGATATCCCCAATCTCCTTGAATCCCTCGCGCGTCTCGTCCGCGAATTTAGTCCACTGCTGATTCTGCCACGCTAGTCGCAGCGTATTTCCCGCTAGCTCGGCTTCCTGTATCTCTAGCGCCGCCGTATTTGTATGGATGTTTGCTGCGCGGTCGCGGAGCGGTGCTTCGAGGTTTGTTCCAACTGAGTGAAGCGTTGCTGTAAAGGCCGCCAGCGCTTCTTTTTGTTGCCGGTCGTCTGTTGTGTTTGGGTCTGCGGTTGGATTTGGGGTTGGGATCGGTTGCGGGGTGGAGTTGTCCATGGCTGTTTATCTGGTTCGGGTTTGTAGTAGAGTTGTAGACTATATGATCTTTGGAGAGATGATCCAGGCAACTCCCTCGGGATCTCTAGGTCTCTTTATATCAAATTTTGGGGGGATGTCTGGGTACTGGTAGCAGAAATCAGGTGTACACAAAAAGATCGACAACCCCCACCCGGCATATACCATCTCTGTGAACACCCGTCCCCCGCCTTAAGTGATGGGGACTTTTCGATCACGATCTGAAATCTCGAAGGAAACTCTTCCTGTCTTGGGCCTGTTCCGAGGCTGGTGTAGGAACTTCACTGGCCTCGGTGATATTTTCCCCGGTCAGCATCCCTTGGAGCTCTGAGGAGTTGCAAGAAAAATGGCCACAGGAAAGTAATCGATAAAAAAAGGCATGGGGAATGGCGCTTGAAGGTCGACCTCTCTAGCTTGGAATTTGCTCAATGCTCTCCTTTCAGTGGAATCCTGACTATCTGCTTTGGCATTTTCCAATTCTAGATTCTCCTCACAGCCGTATCTACCTGCGATGAATTCAGGAAATCGAAAGACACAACTCCATGGGTGTCATCTGCAGAGTTCGCTGCAATTCAATTTCTAGATTGTTCCCGCTGATTCATGGTCTCCTTGAAGTGGATTAGATCGATGTCTAACCTTTGTCTCCTCTTATTAGAGCCATTGTCGAAATTGCCCGGACTCAGTCGGTACCCTGGAGGACTGTGCTATAAACCGTGGGGAGGCAGATGGGAGCATCCGCAAGTCCCATCAATTTCCACGGGGTGGGAACCCTGAGACGAAGTATGGATGCGCTGTAGCAGGGCACGTTGCCATTTCGTCTGGCGGGGGCATCCGGGACGCAAGTCCATGGTATGTTCTTCCTTGCGTGTGGTTATTCTTCATTTCTAACCTTCGCGCTTCTCTCATCAGAACCTTTGTGGGAAGACCTGAAGTCCGATTGGGGGTGCACGATCCCAGTTCAGGCGGGTCCGGCTAAACTCCAGGTACGTCCTCTTCCTCAGACTGTTCCTGTCCATTATGGATTTAGGGTCCATTCTGACTAGTGCATTCAGCGGGGCTTGTTGCATTACGCGGCAACTGTGTGATTCCCTGCAACTGGCCATGCAACTGGTCTGTTGTGTGGGTACCGGATCTAAAGAGCATACTTTGGGGTCAGTACATCCAGCAGGGCCATAGAACGAAACTTCCAGTACGTCTCTGATCGGAGTGAACGGACAATGAATTGTTCACCGGCGATGCTTTTCGTCTTTGAGATACCTGGAAACTTTCATCTTGGTCAAACAATATGAGTACGTTAGTCATCTCTAAATATGCACATATACACATATAATCTCATGCGACAACTCTTAGGCAATCAATCCTATCGTGTCGATCTTGAGAGATGTAGTCTAGGATGATAGCTGACCAATGTTTGCGTCTGAACTTATTCTACTCATACTTTTGCAGTGAGCTACTGCGAAGTGGGGAGCACAGAGGCTCTTGAAATGTTCAAATTCAAATCAATCCCGAGGACAGATAGACATTAAATTAAGGTAGAAAGAACCCGGAGGATACGTTGTGCATGATTTCCGCCTTACACCTCGATGTGTGCAGTTTCGATGATTGGCTTCTCAATCGTTGCGGTATTCAAAGTTCGATGGTGCCCAGGGAGAACGGGATAACCTCTAGTTTCCCAAACACCTCCGGTAATTCCACCCCTGGAGAAGAGATGATCAACATCTTCCAGTTCTAAGCCTTTGGTCTCGGGAAAGAAGAAGAAGACCATAGGAACCTTAGTCTAGTCAGTACCATGAAACATAGCAATTGGGTTTAGAATCGGGGTCATACCCAAGCAAAGCAGAAACAAGCGAAGATGATAAATGTCTTCCATCCAATATTATCAATTGCCGTCGGAGTAATTTGAACGACAATGACTGCCAGGGTTAGCAAAGTTAAGGATTTCCTATAAGGACCAGTCGACTTACAAACACAAATCCAATTGACAAAGCCACCAAACGCTTGAGCTCTAGCTCGGATACGCGTAGTCGATATTTCGGACGGATAGAACCTTGCAAGTTGTTAGCATATGCCCACGACAGCAAAGATGGGAACCCCCAACCAGGGAACTGGCAGATAACCGATGCCGAGGAACAACTGGAAAATAAAAACGAACACGGTAGCTGCATATGCACAGGAGGTAGTGCCGATTGATAATAGAATAGCAGTCATCACGAAACAGAAACAGAGGCCTGCGGCAGAGACCATGAGTGAGACCCGACGGCCGAACTTGTCCATGCTCCACAAGGGGATAATCGAGCCAACAAGGTACGCGAGAGAGGTGCAGCCACCAAGGATTAAGGATAGATTGCGAGATAGCTTCATAGCATTCTTGTTTTGGACTTGGTATTAGTTCACTCATTCGGCGGGACATCTGCATAACAGCATACCTGGTAGACAACGGGGGCATAGTAGTTGATCATGTTAGAGCCTAAGATAAGTCAAAACATCGATTTCACACAGTGTCTGAACGGGGGATTGCCCACCTGTGAATTGCTGCTGGATATTGACAACGGCCGCCAAGATCATGCGTCGAAGATTCCCCATCTGGCCACCCGACCAGAGCTCCTTGTACTTGAAGGGTCCGCCTGCAGACTCAATCTCGATAGATGACTCAATCTGTCGACGTAGAAGAGCAACCTCAGGATGGGACTCATCAGCAGGCTGATTCAGTTGGAGCCGTGCCAGAACCGAGCCTGCCTCGTCACTGCGGTCTTGTTCACAGAGCCAGCGCGGCGAATCAGGCAGGGGAATCATCTGCAAAACTAAGCAGACGGCAAAGAAAGCCTGAAAGCTGATCGGGAACCGCCACTGAACGGGCGTGTCCACGAAGCTCAGCCCATAGTCCAGCCAGTATGCGATGCACAGACCGAGGATTGTCACGGTGCCTTGAGCTGATAGCAACATGCCACGCTGCTCTGGACGCGCTAGCTCGGATTGGTAGGCTGGAATGGTGCTGCTGTTGATTCCGTTGCCAAGACCGGTGACAATTCGGCCAACCAGGAATTGAGCAACGGTATAGGAGCTGCCGAGGATGATGGTTCCTATGATCATGATTGAACCGCCAGCAATAATCATCTTGCGGCGGCCGACTTTGTGGCCAATGACGAGACTAAGGAGACAGCCGACTGCACAGCCGATATCGTAGATTGAAGTAAGAAGACCCTGCATCGTGCTATCAGGGCTGTTGAATGTTTGTCCAAATTGATTGTTCGCGCCAATCAGGCCACTCATGACTCCCTGGTCATATCCCAGGAGAAGAAAGGCTTGACAGCTTGCAGCTGTCACAGCCCAGTGTAGGTATTTTCCGCGCAGGACCATCCTTGTGTGCTTTGGTCGATGGTGAAGCTGGAGAGACTCTGAAATCCGGGGCCCCAGGTCCTTTTCTCCACACCTTCAACCGTTTCCACCCCATGGGATCTCGGTTCATTATTGTCCGAAAAGGATTGGCGGTTCGGTTGAATGCAGCCCGGAGCCGTCATCAGTGCTTCATCTTTGAACGATACAGAACTAGTGCAGCGGTTTCCCCGCGGGGATTTCCCCACACGCCAACGAATGTTTGTTCTGGCGAAACAGGGATGGTTTGAACAACGTCATCAATGCCTTTGGATGCCACCTCGAGCCTTCGAGACTCAAGGATTCTTGTTCACTCCGCTTCTTGGGCTTTAGGACTGGCGATCTTACTCTATCGGACCCGCCCAGAGAAAGTCCCTTGCCATTCTTCTTTTCGAGATCAGCTTAATGGTGAACAAGACGAGGACCATATGACTTGATACCAAAAATTTCCCGTCTGGGGCAAATGGTAAAAAGAGTGTATTCTTTTTTTTTGAATGAGCAAGTGTGCGAAGATACATAGCAGCCAGGTAGAATTTTAATTGAGGCCAGATTCAGTCAATAGACTCTAGCGGAACCTAGTGCTCGGTACTTGAACCGCTCTTGAAGCTTCTTCTTCTTCTTCTTCTTCTTCTTCTTCTTCTTCTTCTTCTTCTCTCTTCTTCTTCTTCTTCTTCTTCTTCTTCTTCTTCTT